TAATAATAAGTAGTTATACTAGGTAGACCTCTGTTTTTCTTCTTTTGTAAGTGCTTATTGAATCTCCACGCGGGACGTCTTTGGTGGTGATATTTTTTTTATTTTTGGCATTTCTGAGGGCTTCTAGTTTCTTTTTTTTTCTTTTATTTATATATTCAGCAAAAAGTTTACATGCAAAATTACATTATATCTGCCAAACTGCAACGCAGTTTGTCGACAGAGTTCTCGTAGAAATATTATCACATTTAAAATGATCATACTATAATACTAGTGGCCCGCCCTCGCTTCCCTTCGGTGTAAAGCTGAAGTATAGACTATAGTTATTGTTCTCAGGCGTGTCGAGCGCGGCAACCGTTACACAAAAATAAATCCTTATAGCATGATTCAGTATTCACGTGCGACGGCGCGATGGCTTATTTCATACATGATTTCTATGTAACATTAACCATTAAGTCTTAACCATTAATCTCCCGTTTTCCCAACATTTCCCTTCACTACTCTGCTCCTATTGATTGTAGCGTGATGAAAAGTATACTATAACCTGCCCAGGACTATGAAGAATAATTGTACCAAGTTTCGTTAAAATCCGTAGAGTAGTTTTTGTTTCTATATGGCACGTACATACATACAGACAGACAAAAATTTTACTGATTGCATTTTTGGCATCAGTATCGATCACTAATCACCCCCTGATAGTTATTTTGAAAATATATTTCATGTACAGAATTGACCTCTCTACAAATTTATTATAAGTACCTATTGATGATATTAATAATGCATGTTAACTTTCTATGACAGAGAAACGAAATAATAAGAGAAACGAGAAAGCAAACAACCAAATTTTTTCTTCTTTTTAATATCCCTTTGGTAGGTACAATTTTTTTTATCGTACTTTAATAACCTTCTATAAACTTTCCATACCGCAATGCAAATGAATGAAAATTTCCAACATTCATACCAAATTTGCTTAGCCTAGTCCCAAAGTAAGCACTAGGCTTGTGTTATGGGATACTAGGGTAACGGATAGAATACATATAAATAGATTTTGATAAGGAACACATATTTTCGAAAATAAATAAATAATAAAATAAATAAATATTGCCAACACTTACACCAATTAGCTTAGCCCCAAAGTAAGCACTCTTATAGTGCTTGTTGTGTTATGGGATACTAGGGTAACGGATAGAATACATATACTATACATATATAAGTATATTTATATAGAATTACATATTAAACATCCATGACTGGAGTACAAATGCTCATATTCATCACACAAACATCTGCCCCCACCGGGATTCGAACCCGGGACCTCTCGAGTCGGCGACAGCATGAAACCCGGCGTACAAACCACTCGGCCACGGAGGTCGTCAAACTCAAAAAAAAAAGGAAGACATAGGAGCATATACTAAGTAAAAATATATTTTATGTATGAAAAGCATTTTGTTTAGTAATAAAAATCAAGTAGGAATCCGTCGAAAACGTTTGTATGGAAAAAACATAGCCCGCCTCCCCTGTTAAGAGGAAATCCCTGTCTCGAAGCGATTTACAGCGAAGCATTAAATTGATAAATGTTCGATAAACTAAACGATGAATTTATCGTTGTAGTACAATTTTATATCAAACCGTTGATTAATTCATCATCATCATCATCAGCCTGTTAATGCCCCCACTGCGGGGCACAGGCCTTGCCTATGGATGGAATAGGGAGATTGGGCTATGACCCACCACGCGGGCCCAGTGCGGATTGGCGGGTGCTAACGTCTGCAGATGCAGCCGGAACAATGGCTTAACGTGCCTTCCGAAGCACGGAGGAGCTCGAGTAATTTTTGGTCACCCATCCCATTGGATCGGTCATTACCGACCACTGCGAAAGTTGCTTAAGTTCAACGATCGCAGTCGAACGCGCTAACCACTTGCGCCATCGAGCTCCTCAGATTAATTCTATGTCATTAAAATCAGAATCAAAATCATTTATTCAGTATAGGCTGTTACAAGCACTCATGAATGTCTAGAAGCTACGCCATCGGATTGTAAATCTACGGCGGGAGACATTGTACTGAGAAGAACCGGCAAGAAACTCAGCAAGGGCTGTTTTTTTTCTCCGTTATTATTATTATTTTAAGTTCAAGTGTTAAGTTTTGAAAAATGACTTCAGAGATGATTCATGAAGTCATTTTTCATTACATAATGATTAAACATACATTAACTGTATACCTGCATTTTGATTGTTGTGTCATACAGTATAAATACAAATAGTGTTATTTATATTAAGTGTGACTAAACGTTAACATCTTTAATAGGGATGATGACTATTTTTTTTTCTTCGTTTATCAGGTAGATTATCAAAAAGTATTGGACACATATTTTTTCTTTTTTCACATAATATAAACATTGCAGAGATATATTGATTTGAAAAGTCGCATGTCGTCACGTTTGAGTACACTTTTAAGTGAAAATTCACTAAAAAGTGGCGTCACGAGCCCCTACTCCCAAACTTTGACGCGCTATAACTTTGTAATTTTTTGGTTGATTGCCCAAAGAAAAAATACGTGTCCATTATTTTTTGATCATCTAACTGAAGGACTAAATATAATTTCGTTTACTGTACCCCGTCATCACCTCTATTCAAGGAGGAAGGCAGACTCATCTCCACGCATGAACCATCGTTCATCCATCCATCGTTTCGCTCAACCATATTTTAGCGCCTTAGATTTTTACGATGGCAATTAGATTCTATATATCAGGAGTACAGGATACCGTCCTGTCCTCAGCAGTTAATTTAAAATCACGGTAAAGTTAAAAAGATCGGAACTAAGTTTTTGCTTTCACTTAAACTTAAGAAAGAAGTACCTAATTGAAATGAGATATTAAATAAAAGACTTCATTAAGTTTCTTTAATCAAAACTCCGCCATTCGTGTCATTGGGGATGACATAATAAAAATGAAGAATTTTTCGCGGCTAATTAAAGAACTAAGATAAGGACAAAGAATTTAATATGAAGTAAAATATAAATATATATATGTATACACAAGTCATAAAGTCCAAGATTCCAAGGCCGCCAGTCCTTACTTATTTTCTAATGGAAAAAGTTGTGTGCAATCGAGTAGAGATAGTGTGTACCTGTAGGTATTATTAACGTACAAATACTCGCAAATATGAGCTGTGGGCCAATTTTCCAATGTCAAATTTAATTGGTTATTTTGTTTATAATAACAGTCCGCGGAGTGTAAATAATGTGATTTTTTTTTGTACTTGTACCACTTGATACCTGAAAAATGGCCCACAGCGCCAGTTAGCAAATATCTCTACGTTCATTTTACACACTAATATAAGTCGCGGCACGAAACTCTTGCGCTGAACGTTATTACGCAAAAGTAAAACATTAAGATATCTTGAGGAGAAACGAGGTGCACGGGTCTCCAGTTGTACCCGAGATCCAAGGGGACCTCAAGCCGAGAATTGGCGAGTGCCTCTATAGGTATTTCAGGCGGATGGCGTCTCCCCACGGGTGGAGCCTCCTCTCCGTCTGGAGCCTCTAGACAACTCGAACCTGAGGGGATCGGCTCAAATAGAGGGCGTCTCTGAGCCTCGGACCTTGGAGCCGTTGTCGTGGGAGACGATCACTCACAAACAAAACTTGAAACCAAGTCCACAACCATCGTCGTCAGTTTTTTTTCTTTTTTGAGTGTGTATGGTGTTGGTCGCAGATGACCTTTACAGCGTCACCGGGTTTGGGGCCGGTGGGATCCTAAGGGGATCTCAAGCTGAGAATTGGCAAATGCCTCTAGAGGTATTCCCGGCGGATGGCATCTCCCCACATGAGGAGTCTCCTCTCCATCTGGAGCCTCTAGGTTACTCAAATCTGAGGGGTCGGCTCAACTAAAGGGCGTCTCTGAGACTCGGACCTCGGCTCTAGTTAGCCGTTGTCGTGAGGGGCGGGGAAGAGGGCCCATGTACATACCTGATATACCGTGTCGTGTGTAGACCGGGTCTTCGCACTCTTATCCTACGGGTGCGGTGTCTGCCTAATGCTAAGCTAGTGTGCACGTTTGCTAGCTGTGTAGAGTTGGTGTTTGTGGCCTGTGTGGGAGGAATCGGAGGCGCGTTGACGCGGGTGATTTCTTCGCCGGGGTAGTCTAAGACGTGCCTAGGCTTTAAATTTGGCTCTAATCGCTTTAACTACTAAGGGGTCCCTCATATACTTCGGGATGGAGTCTAATTTGAGGTCGCGATGCAAATCGATGGTACCACGGGCAACCCGTGGCACCGCGCAACACACGATTTTGCAGCGTTTGCAGTAGTTTAAGACGCGACGGAGGTACGTGGGCGAAGCAAACACTCGCGTAGGTCATGATAGGGCGGATGCAAGTTTTGTAAATTGTCAACTTATGCCTAAGTGACATCTTACTACGCTTCCCTATGAGGTGGAATAGCCGGCCGAGAATGAATACTGCGCGATCGCGAAATATCTTGAGGTGAGGTGCAAACGTTAATCGGTTATCTAACATAACTTCCAAGTACTTGACCCGGTCCTCCCAGGGGATGACCACGTCAAATAATTGGATGCTCGTAAGAGAACGCGTGGGAGGCGGTGTCGTGCTAATGAGGATCGCGACGCTTTTCTCCGGATTAACCTCGATACGCCATCTACGAAACCAATCGCCAAGGGTGGTAGCGGCTGATTGAAGTCTATTACAGACTGTTCCGAGACGTCTATTGGAGGTATAGAGGGCGGTGTCGTCAGCGAAAAGCGCGAGATCGACCTCCAAACCTACTAATTGACACACTTGTGTGTGTGTGTTTGTATATTTGTTACTGAATCACGCAAAATCTACTGAACGGATTTGAAGTTCCGCTTTTCTTATTAAAGGACTGCACAAACCTACAAAGTTATTGAAAGGGATTGGAGTTATTGAATAAGACAAATAGCAGCAATTTTAATTTTTAAACGTTGCTACTTTTAAAGTTTTCATTGTTCCCCTTTTATTGTTATCAGGAGAACCAGTGTATGCGCATCAAGATCCTGGGGGACTGTTACTACTGCGTGTCAGGGTTGCCGGTGTCGAGGCCCAACCACGCGTACAACTGCGTGAACATGGGCCTGCAGATGATCGACGCTATCAGGTATCTTTATAAATGCAGTTCACCTTTAGTTAGTTATCATGAGAATATGTTATAGGGGGCATACGAGCAGACGGCTCACCTGATGGTAAGTGATCACCGTCGCCCATGGACACTTGCAACACCAGGAGTATCACAAATGCGATGCCGGCCTTTAAGGAAGGAGTACGCTCTTTTTTTGAAGGTTTTTAGGTCGTATTGGTCCGGAAACACTGCTGGCGACAATATATTCCACAGTTTTGTCGTACGTGGGTAAAAAATTTCGACAAAAACGCACGGTTGTGGATAGCCACGCATCAAGATGATGATCAAGACTTACATGAAGATCCTCGGGGTCTGCTCCTCCTGCATGTCAGGATTGCTGGTGTCAAGACCTAACCACATATACAACTGCGTGAACATGGGCCTGTAGATGATCCACGCTATCAGATACCTTTAAAAATACAGTTTACTTATAGTATTCGCAGCGATACTCGGGGACTGCTATTTCTGCGTATCCGGTCTGCTTTGTTACAGTTTGCGTTTCGAGATCCTTAAGGACTGCTACTACTGCATGTCAGGACTGCCTGTGTCGTAGCCGAACCATGCGAACACCCGTCCACGTGTTCCCTCCTTCCTACAATCTGGAGTCCTTTAAGAGAGGCGTAAAGAAGCATTTTTGCAGACCGGCAAGGTGAGGATGGTTGATGTGGCAGTTTATTACTGCTGTACCAGCTATCTTCGCGTTTGGATTCTATCACCACTCAACTTCAGAAAAAAATCAACCGCATTAATCATCATCATCAATTAAATGAGGAGTTTACTTTATTGTTGAATTATTGACTCGTGATCGCGTTTCTAATATTTATGTTTGTTATAAGTATCAAGTCTTAAGAATAATAAGTATTGCTCATCGAGAATGAGAAACTCGACGGAAAAGTGGCTAGTGTTTTAGGTATGCCATTGTAGAACTTCTGTTTTCTGGAATCGTGAGACTCACTCATCTGCACTGGGTTCACTTAGCGGATCATGATCCATTCTCCCTATTCCAATTATAATTAATCCCTTTGATTCAGCAGGCAAAAAATTAAGTCTGCAGGATAATAATGATCCATTCAAGGACTGTTATGTAACGTGGCATGATCGGAAAGTTCTGGGAGTTCAAAGGTCAAACAACTTTTTTAAAGCCCATTCACCGAATGGTTTTACAAAATGTTTTGATTATATTGTTATTTTAAGCATTAAATTGCTATTAGATTTAAGACGGGTGCAAATTGGATTTCCCGCACGAATTGGAGTGTGTCTGGAGAAGTAACGTCCACCTTACAGAAAATCACAGAAAAATAAGACTACCTTTTGGTGGTGTTGTGTTTCTGACGGTTTGGAAGGGTTCTACGAGGTGGGGGACTGGATCAGGGTAGTCATCAATGTGAGTGATATTTTTGGTATCGAATTCTTTGGTGGCTGCCTACTATCAGGCGGGACATACGCTTGTTTGCCACCCTTCTTCTTCTTCTTCTTGCTATGGGCGTTTCCGCAACTCGACGTCCGTATGGCGCCTGTTTTGCGTGAGGAGGGTGTATGGCCGGAGTCACTCCAGCCAACCCAGCTCCGCCAGGAACGCCCAGGGCCAGGGCCTTCACGTTGGTGACTGCCTCTTGAAGGTTTCCTGGTGAGCCGAGGTATTTCGCCCGGTTTGCCACCCTTTTAACATTAAAAAAAACCATTGCAAGTAATTGACTTCCACAACCAAAAACCTACTACGCGAACCAGAAGAATAATTTTGAGAAACGCCTTCGATCTTCCTAAAAGTATTCTTTAATTTACTTTAAAACCGTTTCTAAGGTTTGTCCGGGAAGCGACCGGGTTCAACGTGGACATGCGCATCGGGATACACACCGGCAACGTGCTGTGCGGCGTGCTCGGCCTCAGGAAGTGGCAGTTCGACGTGTGGAGCGATGACGTCACCCTCGCCAACCACATGGAGTCTGGAGGAATCGCTGGGTAAATGATATACACATACATTGTCATCATAAATATATCCTTACTAGGACGTGCTTTAGCAAACAAAGAACTGTGCATCGGGATTTGCATCGGCAAAGTACTGTGCGGCGTACTTGACTTCAGGAAGTTGCAGTTCGACTTGCGGATGACGTCACCCTGGGTAATAACACGTTGATACATTCTCACCATATATCCCTTGCGAGTTCGGAGTTTCATTTTACTGAACATAGATTTGCGTGTCGGGAACCACCCTATGCTCGGTCTCAGGAATTGGCAGTTCGACGTGCGGAGTGATGACGTCACCCTCGCTAACCACAAGGAGTCTGGAGGAATCGCTGGGTAAATGATATATCCTTACTAGGACGTGCTTTAGCAAACAAAGAACTGAGCATCGGGATTCTCATCGGCGAAGCGCTGTGCAGCGTGCTTGACTTCAGAAAGTGGCAGTTCGACGTGTGGATGACGTCACCCTAGCCAAACACATGGATGGAGTCTGGAGGAATTGCTGGGTAATAACACATTGATACATTCTCACCATATATCCCTTGCGAGTTCGGAGTTTCATTTTACTGAACATATATTTGCGTGTCGGGAACCACCCTATGCTCGGTCTTAGGAACTGGCAGTTCGACGTGCGGAGTGATGACGTCACCCTCGCCAACCTCAAGGAGGCAGAAGGAATCGCCGGGTAAATGATAAACACACACATTCATGCCATGATAATCCCTTGTATGGTCAATAGATCTTTAGACGTGTGGCAGTACATCTCAGCAATCTTGGCTGGTGTTAGGTTGACCTAAGATGTTCTTTGGATAATTTGACAACATGCATCAGAAACTCAAGCTGTTGCAGCTTCTGTCGCTTTCTTTTATTTATATTTTGTTAAATATATGAGGAGCTCCATGGCTCGGGTGGTTAGCGCGTTCGGCTGCTATCGTTGAAGTCAGAGAACTTTCGCAGTGGTTGGTCATTGGATGGGTGACCAAAAACCTTCTATCTCGAGTTCCTCCGTGCTTTGCAAGGAACGTTAAGCTATTGTTCTGGCTGCATCTGCAGACGTTAGCACCCGCCAATCCGCACTGGGCCCGCGTGGTGGGTCATGGCCCAATTTCCCTATTCCATCCATAGCGAAGGCCTGTGCCCCAGCAGAATGAAGGTCAAAATGGCTAGTTGGGAAATTACATGTTTTTTGATACAAATTAAAAGCACAAATAACTGAAAAATGACTATTTATTACAGTAAAGTTTCAAAACTCCTTCCTCCAACCTGAATACACAATTGACAACGTCTTAAAAAGTTATGTTTTAATTGTCTAAAACTTCTTGAATATTCTTTATTTATTTTTCTTTTCGCTTCTGTAAGTTTTTGTCTCAATTCTTGTTCGCATTTTCAATTTTAGGGATGAAACCGAAATTATTGTAAAATTACACATGCTAAAGTTATTTTACAGGAATTTCAATTAAATTTTATTTAAAATTACAGTTTAAAGTTTAATTTACCATAACAATGATAAAAAGTAGATAAAATATTTTTTAATGCTTTGATCGTGTTTCAATGATTTTAAGCCTATCCGCCTTCGAAGGCCAATTACAATAAAAATAGGCTGATTAAGTACAATTTTTTGTTTACGATTTTTGGTAGTTTTCTAAACTACATGCATGCGGAGTTTTTAGTTTAGCCAGAATCTATGGAAAGTCCTTTTTGTATTTTTAAATTGAAGTTGAATGTTTGAGTAAATCCTACTAAAAACTAAAGTTCCAACTGTCAAGCTTTTTTTGAGTAACTTTAAGTAATTTCAGGAAGCTGAGGTTTTCTTTTTATTAAACCAACATTCAAGACTATTATGTCACAAAAAAGACTGCAAAAAAGATATGAATTTTTGAAATCTCACTGGCAGAAATCGTTAAAAATACACAAAAAAACTATAACTCGAAAACTAAGAAAAATCGCGGAACATACATGGGGTATTTTCGGATACCCCCAGGTGCGAGGAATCTAAAAAAAATTGTTGACGTCACTAATTGGACCACCCTGTGTATGTGAAAATATTGATTCCATCTAAAAACATGTAAATAAGAAACCTATCGTAAAAAAACGCTATTTTATGCTTTTTAATATTGGGGCTCTTTATCAACTCAATTACTCTGTGTGTTTATTACGTAATGACGCTGCATGAAACACAAAATTGTTGGCAGTTTTTCTCTCAGTACAAGGTTTCCCGCCATTCCTTTACGAGAACGATAACTTTTCGCATACTTTTTTTCTAATTTAATTATTGGCGCAGCAATTTACTCTTTCCCACCTGACGTTAAGTGTAAGCGGAGTCCAGTTGCAAATAAAGCTGAAGCTGCAGAAAAATTAGCCATTTTCAGCCAACCTTAATCTTGTCGACCTGAATCCAATCCCATGGAACTAGGCTTGCCAGATGGCCGGGAAATTTGGGATCGTCCCGGAATTTTGCGTGTTGTCCCCTGTCCAGTAATTAGACCTTATTGTCCCGAATTCCGATAATGTACTAGTTTCGTAACAAAATAAACTAATAACGAATGACACCACTGGCCATATCGTACAGTAGCTCACGAAATATGACACGCGGAATAATAATGGAACGAAAATTATCGCCCTAAAAATAGACCCTATTTTCGAATGATGACATAGCCAATACTAAATACAGCACAGATCATAGATATGTTGAATATCATTAATCTGAGATCCAGTTACGATTTTTCCAGATACGAATTTAGTTAAATCGTGATATGCCGCTAATAGTTAAAAAAATATCGTTTTTGATACGAATTTCGATATTGGTTATTTTGTATCGATGTATCGATATATCGAATCAAAATATATCGGCAAAAATATCGATATATCGAACAAAAAAATATCGATACATCGATATATTTTCAACAAGCCTAGAAAAAATATGTTTGCACTGCACCTAACACTGTACAAACCAACCAGTTTACGCTTAAGAAATTTCTTTAAGTTGCTAAAGTGAAATTGAAAATTTACAGCGGTGCGATGTTTAACACTCTGCTAGTAAACATCACCCTTACCTTTAATGAAAGTGGGTAACAAAGCAACGTATATCATTTTGACAGATATTTCATTATTCGTTGTGTTTCGTCGATGAGTCTTCATTTTTCATCTTGTGATTGACTTCGAGAGCCTTGAGTTCAACATACAAATTCTTTATTTCAAATCCACATGGTAACGAAAAAAGTACTTACCGACATTTTACTAGTGAAAATATAGTGACGACTTCATTATATATTTATTATACTAGTGGTCCGCCCTCGCTTCGCTTCGGTGTAGAGCTGTAGTGTAAACTATAGTTTTTGTTCTCAGGCTTGTGCTATAAACAATCACTTTATTTATATAATTACACGTGTTATTGTGAGTCAACCATAAAAGATAGACATATGCTGTTGCGGGATATTTTTTAGACAATTTTATGTGAAATATTTCCGTTATACATGATTTCTATGTAACTTTAACCATTAAGGCTGCACACGCGACGGAAGCTTAAAAAATGGAGTAACTTCTCCCGTTTTCCCAACATTTCCCTTCACTACTCTGCTCCTATTGATTGTAGCATGATGAAAAGTATACTATAACCTGCCCAGGAGTATGAAGAATAATTGTACCAAATTTGGTTAAAATCCGTCGAGTAGTTGTTGTTTCTATAAGGAACATACACACAGACAGACAGACAGACAAAAATTTTACTGATTGCATTTTTGGCATCAGTATCGATCACTAATCACCCCCTGATAGTTATTTTGAAAATATATTTCATGTACAGAATTGACCTCTCTACAGATTTATTATAAGTATAGATGAACACCAGATATAAAACTCAATTTCAGTGATAAACGTATCAATGCTGAAATCGGAAACGTCGCACAGAAGCTATCAGAATTCATGAATATATTTTCCGATATTCTATTTGTAAAATAATATTTTCGGAATAATGAAAAGAGTAAGAAGGAAAAATGTGTTTTAACTATACTTGATTTTTTATATTGTTTTATTTCTGTTAAGTCAATGTTTATTTTATAACTGCTGCCATTTTCGTAGCTTAAAGAAATAATATTTTTTGTAGGTATTTCATTTTTGTATGATGACGGGCAGATTTAAACTCCATAGGTTATATCAAGTTGATTGAGAAGTATCTTATACAAAATGTATTTTATGCTTAAACCTATGCGTGTTGAATGTGATCAAATCTGTTAATACCTACATTTATTTCAATGTAATAACCTAGATTTTCCATAAATATTGTTACAAGAAAATACATATTTAAATATAAATTAATATATTTATTTAATTCTCAATATTTAATAGCATACTCTTTGCTTTTTGTTACGTAGACTCTGTAATTCCATATTTCGACGCCCCCCGCGAATAATCCGGTAATCGTAAAAGTGTAAATGTTCAGGAAAAATAAAAAACCATTTTTACTTAACTCCATTAAACAACAAGTATGAGAGACTTTTTATATCGCATATGGAAGCTAATTTTTTCAGCTATCTGGTTATTTCCACAAAATTTAAGTAGTCCCAAGGGCTTCGTTATAATTTAGCTGGATGCATTTTACTATATTAGTGTAGGTCAATCTCTGGTCAGTAATGACACTTACGATATTGTTCGTGTAAATTTATGTTTTCGACGGTCGCAGTAAAATCGTGTTGCGCTATTATTCGTGTAATTTATTTTGTTTACTGAACATTTGTAAAAAACAATTATTAGGTTATTCGATTGTTTAACAGTAACGTACATTTTATTGTTATGACTATTATTGTTTATTCAAATAGTTTAGTTAAGTATTATTTGATGATTATTATAGTATTTTTATGAAATAAAGAACATTCTAGTAAATGAAACAATCTGGTTAATTTGACAAAACACGATAGTTATTATTATCATAAAAAATAGGCACTGCACTGAAGACACACATTTACACATGATTACACAATCATGAAAACAGTTAAAAATCT